GTTTATACGTTGGATTAGCACTAAGATATATACAACAAATTATCGACCAAGAATATCCAACATATGTGGCAAAGATCTAGCCGTGAATGAAGATGAAAAAATCATCGTTTATATTTTAATCGAACCCGTCGACCATTAACATGTGCCAAAAAGTTGGTGTTAGTTGTTTTCGAAGCTATACGAATGTGTCATCATGTGAAAGGTATATCTTAAAGTCATAGTCAAACAATTAAAATTCACTCTTAAATGTATACAAGAATGATACTCCATTGTTTTGGTTATACACTTTATAAGATACTGATCGAAATATAATTTCACCTTCTTTTTTATGCTATAAACAAATAGTTTCACCTTATAAGATTTTGTAACTCGTTTAGATTTATAGAAATGATAATTTTATTTGGAATATTGTTTTTCTAAAAGGCCCTAAACGTCATGATATATACTTATATATAGAAAGAATATAATTCGATCTTTGAATGTTGAAACTACAAGTCTCCGGCATGGAATTGTTTGGTGGGGTCAACGATGCACATTTTTTGTGTCTTGACTTTGAAGAAAAGCACAATGTGGTATGTTGCATGGCTTCACCGCTATAGCAACATTTTAAAAATATTTTTCCCGACACATACTTGAATTTTGCAGTGAAAGAAAAATTTGAAACATTGAGTCCAAGAATCCAAGTAGCTTTAAGTTTGTTCAACCATTATTGAAATAAATTTGCTAAATTTGTTTTTTATTTAAACAATTTTACTAGATAATTATACATCATCGTTTGGAAAAAGGTGAAGAAAATGCTTGGTCATTCGTTGTGGTAGTTGAGTTTAAAACACATGCAATTAAGTAACAGTCTAACACATGAATCAAAGTCCTCAACTAACACGAATTAGAGTCCTAAATCAGCAGACGAAATAATAATACTATATAGATAAGTTACATCTACAAATTTCAATTAGTAGGATTTGTTTTTGGAAAGGAGCTCAAAACTAATTTGGACACTTGGCTATTAAAAGGAATAATATCATAATAATATTGTAGTTCACATGGTTTTGCAAAGTTTATCAATCTTAAATTCATAGTATTATAAATTTGTGGTTTGCCATTTTATGTGTTTGAAACCAAACATAAAACTGAGTT